TTTTCACACCAAGTCATCAATACTTGGGACCTGTTACCCAAAACACTGGTGTTCGCACCTTCAAATGACTCATTAAAGAGTAGAATGGACACTCGTACAGACATACAAGAAAACGAATGACATAAGCCGCATGCCTTCTGTCCTAATCACACAAATCTGAATCTGAAATCTAAATCTTACTATTTTTCCTCTTTTATCAACAATATACCTAGGTTCCTGCTTGGAAGTATTGGTGATGCACTGCTACTAGACACGGAAGCTTTTGAAGCGACAGATTCTTCTATTCCGTCCAAAACCATTTGAACCATTTGAACCACTTCGCTGTTTGAATAATTCTCAGGACCAGTTCGTTGCATTTGGCGGGTGGTACGCCTTTTGATCGGTCAGCTGCATTTTGAAAATCACCACAATGTTGACTCGCAGCCGTTTCGGGGTCTACGTAAGGAAAAGATGTTTTCCTAGAATAATTTCAGGCTAATGAAAATGCTCCCGTTGGTGTTAAGGATAATCTCGTCCAAAAAGTCAAAAGCACGGGTGTGTCAACGAGGTCACGCGCAGCACTAGGTGATATTAAGAATAAGGCTACTAGTATCTTGCCGAAAGAAACTGAGAAACAAAAAGGCTTGAAGGATGAAAAATGTTTGGAACCAAGTGAGATTAGTAATCACGTTATTATTTCGCTTCAGAAAAAGAAAAACAACTCGACATGAGTATCGATGGTTCAACTCCTGACGTTACGACTCAGAAACAAACTGATCAACTCAAGGAGTTTCGAGCCAGCCGAAGACTCATTCGTTCAGAATGTTTAGCGTCTCAGTTGGCGGAGGAATTTTTGGAGGTTGACCGAAACGACTACGGAGATGCCGCTTCGGTTTACCCTTATTCTGAACGAATATTTAATTATCTTCAAGATAGAGAACTGTTAGTACAACCCCTAGTAGCTGACTACATGGCCACAAATTGTGAAATTACTCCCAGAATGCGTTACATCCTAATTAATTGGCTTGTCCAAGTACACTACAGTTATAAACTGCAGCCTGAGACCCTCTATTTATGTGTTGGTATTTTGGACCGTTATTTATTGGTATTTTGTGTCTTTATAATTATATGCGTCTAGAAAAATTCAAAAAGCCTGACGAAGGATGGGTTTCAACTTATAGGCGTGGCATCATTATTCATTGCTGCCAAATTCGAAGAAATGTATCCACCCGATATAAGCGACTTTTCATCAATTACAAACAATACTTATTCTAAAAGTGACATAAGAAACACCGAACAAATTATATTGCAATCGACTGATTTCTATTTGTCGATTCCAACTCCATTAGTATTTTTGCGTCGCTTGTCAAAGGCTGTGGATGTAAGTTTGTTTTATTTGACCTTTTCTTCCAGGCTGATAGGACTATGCACAACCTGGCTAAATATTTCTTGGAACTTACGATACAAGAATATGATCTTGCACATCTTCCAGGGAACCTCCGCTCTGTGATTGCGTTGTGTCTGTCTCGAGCGCTGTGTCTTGGCACTTCAGAACTCGAAAGGGCTTGGTGTGACAAACTGTCTTATCTTAGCGGTTATAAGTTAGATGATATACGTGATCATCTGCAGATTCTCGCTCGGGCTGCTTATCGTCAAAATTCTCCTTCGAAATATAGAGTATGTTTTACTTTACTAATCTATAATATTCGCAGGCAATATTTAACAAGTATCGTGTGGACGATTTCTATGGACGTGTAGCATCTTTGCCTCAACTTCGCTCATATCTAATGGAAACCCTAGCAGATCTCAAATTCGACAGTGATGGAGAGGCAAATCCAGTTTAGTGTTGTTGAGATAAACTTCATGCTAATAGAAATTCAGTGATGTCGTCATTTAATTGTCTAGCTGTCTCGGTCTATTTATTTTCCCGATTATTTATTTTCTATCTCCTATCGAGATCCTTGATTATCTCATTGGAATAAGTGTATATTTTACTATGATCGTCCTCGATTTTAGTGTATAATCTTATAATACACACTTTTATCAACCCATATCTGCCATTTATCATTTTGTATAACCGGTAATAATTATTTCCACACTAACGTCGAATACATTAACTTTTAAACTTGCTGTTTCTACGTTAAAAAGGAACACTAGATCTTCCGAGGTGTTACTAATTTTCTATATTCCGCATAATTTTGAATGTTAGGGATGATTCAGTACTTTACCTCATGCCATTTGACCCTATATTAATGCTTACGTCATGGTATGTTAGGAACTTATAAAACTGGTGTCATACTACATATCTTGTTCCGTTACAGGTAACGATAGTTCGTCAGCTTGCGTAGACAGTCGCAAAAACATGACCACTAGGAGTATCGCTAGTTTAAAAACTAATCGGTCATGAAAAAATCTCAAGCTTCTGGCCTTAGCTTCATTGACATGTTAAGCAATTCCTAGTACGTTATCAGAAAGCGCAGTGGACAGGTCTTGTGTTTGCGCGACATCTGCCCTGGGTCCTGCATGAGTAGTACCTACGGGTTTATTTGTCACTAGTTTCATGTACTCCAGTTGTGCGGATATACGCATTTATAATGCCACCATTGTTTCTGCCCCTACAGATGTTTCATAGAAATATCCCTGTTAGCTAATCTTTTTAGCAACTGACTGGTCTGTATTTTGCTATGTATTGTCTGGATCTGCTCATTTTAGTTGTTATGCAAGGAATTAACGTAGGGATACAGAACTGAGTTGGGTTAGAGTTAAAACCTCGTGCAGCTGTAAGGGCTTGGAAAACCGAGTAGTAGACGTCAATTAAGTATACTTTGGGGATCAAGTGGGATAGTATCGTACATAATATTTGATGATAAGCCACAGCTTAATATCTTGTTAATCTATTTGTATGACCCTGATAACATTACAGAATATCCACACGGCTGGGTTCTTTATTAAGTGTAATCCCACAGGCGCAACGGCCAAAATGATCGCTCAACTTCGTCCAAATCACTTTAATATGAACGTCTTTTGTGTCTGTATTATCTTGAGTGTTACCAACAAATTAGGGCACTTGTGATTCTTTTTTAGAAGGTGTTTATCAAAGTTAGGTAGAGCTAAGAATCAATTAGACTTTCTACTCATCTTCTAAAGCCCTAGAGATCGTTCAGCAGGTTCAAGTAAGGTTGAATTGGGTACTAAGGGAACCTTGTTATATGACCGGTATAATGAAACAAAGAATATTCCTATGTTTAAAACACGGTACCGGAGGTACATCTTCAGTCATTGACTATCTTGATAAGAATGCGGTCAATCGATGCGACTGACTAATAGTTTTCTCAAACTGAGGGTTTGTTATTATAGTGGGACCGACAGATGTATTCCTCCTACATGGTATTTTAGGTAGGTTAGTGAACCGTTAGTTTAAACATCAGTAAACTTCGTTTTAATTTAGATTGTAACTAAATTAAAACATGAAACCAACCAACTCGGATGCATTCAGTAAACGGTAATTACCACTACCTCCTTTTAAACTTACAAATGCAAAGTCCTCATCTAACCAACTCGTACTGTTTCCGTAAACACGTTATATCATTACCATAACAAGACTTTGTTTCACAAACTAGTTGTTTGTCACTAGTGATGATTCATTTCGTAAATAACTTCCCAGTACTGTTGAGTATACTTATAACCCAAGAAGTCGTCAAGCTGACAACATATAGTAATAGAAACTAATCTGGATGTAGTTTCCTTTCTCAAAATACTGTTGCTTGAATAAAATTATTAGTTTCAAGGACTACCAATCCACTTATTAGGAATAACAAGTGACATGATAAACAATTATTCTAAACGACTATTAAAGAATAAGGTTAGGGATTGAGGTGTCGTACCCCCCTTTATAGAGAAATCTCTTTAAGACGGTTTGCTTTCAAGGAATGAAGCTGAAAACATCTATTTCCGATAGTTAGGTTACAACGATCCACTTCGTATTTTGCATGTTAATCTGACATTTCGATAGAGTTCACATCTTGTTTTCGGAGAAATTATACTTTGTAGGATAAATTACGTTTCAAATAAATATACGCCTGCTTTCAAAAAATAATATTTCTATCAATTGAAATAATACCTTTTGTATACATAGAAGGGATCTTGATATTAGTGTTCTAATTACATTTCCAATTGACTTCATCCTTTGTTTCCGTACCCTACTTATTAACACTTCTGTGATTCTCAACCTGCTTCATCACTAATATCCTGGAAGTCTTATCAGCTTTGGTTGGGGGATGATGTGAGATACCTGGTTCCCAACCAAAGAACGAGTTTAACAAGCAGCCCTTAGCTCTTTTTAACTCTAAGACCATGAAATATGGCCTTTAAAAATGGATGATATTAGTAGACTTTCGTTATTTGGTCGTAGAAGCTCTCGAAGTATTGGTCTAGTATGTTGAACTGCCAAGTGAACAAAGTCGAGGTTGAACACAGGGTAATAGGTAGAGAACCCGGACCGATCAGTTAAATTGTACTTCATCAACTACAGCAGTTAGGATATGTATTGCGTATATCCAGTAACCGCCCACGTCCGCGCACAATGACAGCTGATATAAGAGTAGATTGTAAGAAAGCATCGCGAGGCAAACCAAAACACCAATTCATGAAGTTATTAACTGTTTTTACTTCTAATACCCTGGTATTTTCTCGATATTTCACTATGCTGATATAGCACAGCGGCTCGAACTGATACATATATTTGCAATGGCTCTATGCTACGTATAACTGAATAACTAAAAATAACTTTACTATCATTCGCATTATCGAGTGTTCCGGAATCTTCGTTCTGCTGCTTTAAACCAGTCTTTCCAATTGGATTGGCCAACGTCAACATCTTTTTCTCACCTCACCAAACTAGGTCACTTCACCTGTTAATTCCAACAGAAAACAAATATATACCCTAATTAAGACATTGACGAAAACTTTTTTCATAATAATCCCTTTGATCTTTCTTTACTAGTTCAGTAACGACATTATTTGAGAATAACGCTTTAATTTGTCAAAGAAACTCATGAATACATTATTGGAAATCAAATATTCGCAATAAATACAGATATTCCACATTGCTTTATAGGATTAACAGTGATAACAGTAAAGGGTACAACAAACGTTTCAGAACATGCCACTCATAGTGTGAACACTCATTTTACGTCATTAAACGTTACAAGTAACAAGAAAGACGGACTCAATCAAAATTATATATCATTTAATGTAAGTCTTAATGATCAACACGTAAGTAATGATTTCGATTGCACGCGGTAAATACATAAAACATTAGCTAATAAATCACTTAGAGAATTGCAAAACACGATTTTGATTGGAAAACTATCACATATTTTTAAGTATGAAATTAGTGTATTGGAAGATATTAACTTACAATCGAACTAATAAATCTGAGGGAGGAACTCGAATAATTAAATGTTTACAAAGTTTTCACAATTTTAACACTGACAATTAGATATGAAAAAACATGAAGGTGTTGGAGAAGATGGATTGGAGAATCGATTGAACAACTTTGAAGTCAAATTCCATGATGATTATAAACGAGATACACAATATACAGGTCGTAAATTTAAAGAAATTAATGAGAAACCGTGTCAAAACTTAGCACGACGCTTGCGTCCTGTATATTTAGAGTCACGAGCAACTTCTTTCATTTGATCCCTGGCACGTTGCTTTTTTTGTTTTATCCAGGCTACACTGTGCTTTGGCAATTTCTTCATCTGTCTACATTCTCTCAAGGTCTCTAATTTGTTCCGATTATGATTTGACATCTCATTATTTTCTGTAAGTGGCTGCGGGATACGGCGCGTGCTGCAAACATCCAATACCAAAAAGTACCTAAAAATGAATGACTGGTCAATTTGTGTCAAAAACAGAATGAACTTCAATAAAATAATTATGTACGCTAAAACTGACACATACTTCGGGGTAACTTGTTGCTTTTGTAAAGAACATTAGATCCTTAATAATAATTTAGGTATTCACCTAAAATACAGAACTCAAATTTATGGTTTTGTGTTGAAGAGAAATTTTAGGAAAGCAGTTATTTGGTGAAACTAGATGATACGGAAGAACCGAAATGTCTTAGCTGTAAGTTGTGTCGCAAAACAAAAGTTGAAACAAGTGGAAAACAATGCAAAGGCAAATGTAGTCAAGTTGATATTATGTCTAAAAGACTCCGCTTACAAGCGGAGTCACACATCGGGGCAGTTGGTGGTTGGGCATACGTAACACGTGTCTCAGGCATCTCAACAGATGAAGTTTCACTACTTCATCAATTGATTTGCCATCTTTACCTGGTACCCGTTTCCTAACAACTACATTACTTACTCGGTGGTCCCAGGGATATACGAGTAATGCTTCGAAGACACCTATGATCGAATACCAGTAACCTACGAGTATCCTCTACTCTTACCGACCATGTTTCACTACCATAAAGTAGGACAGAACGAACTGCTGTGCAGTAAACCCGTCCTTTGGTCGGTAGACGGATATCTCGCCTACGTCATAAATGACGCAAGTTGGTAAAAGCTAGTCGAGCCTTCTGTATCCGTGCTGAGATTTCGTCACACACCAGACCAAAAGGGATGATGAGACTCCCAATATAAGTGGAGCCGCCGACACGCTCAACCACTATATATTGAGATTTAGATGGTGGTTGGAGGTAGTCAACACCAATAAGGACTAGACAAGCATGACATTGATCACCACCCGGTGATCAATCAATTGTGACGCTCAACCACTTCACTCCCTATCATTAGTTCGGGTGTCGATACAACCCAATCCTGAAACAACATTTTGCATTTCGAGGGGGAGAATCGCATCCCGAACATGCTTGCATTGTTCTTATAGTGGTCAAAAGACTCTGCATTTTGTCAGCGTCTTCACCAAATAGAACTATATCATCGGCATATTTTAAGTCAAAAAAGTGAATCCCGTGTTAGAAATTCAATCCCTGGAAAATCAGATAAGGAGAGTGTCATTTCTAAAAGCACGTCTACGATAAAGTTAAAAAGTGTGGCGTATATATATTTGGTGCCCCCTTGTACCAATATTTATGTGTTCAAATAAAAAATTAAAGTAAAAAAGAGTTAAACAAGAATGGAGAGAGTGGACAGCCCTGACGAACACCACGTGAGGTAATCAATTCTGATGACAGTTCGCCATAAGCTCGCACTCTACCAGTTGTGTTCCAGTAGAGAGCCTGTACAAGGTTGATGTACTTCTTTGGTACCCCTTTCAGTGACAAACACTGCCATAGAACCTTACGATCAGAGTCGAATGGCGCCTTAAGGTCAAGAAATACTACAAATGTGAAGTACCTGAATGTGTATCTATGTTCTAGGACCTGACGTAGTATGAATATCTGGTCTATACAACAATGTCCAGGTCGAAAACCAGTCTGGTTTTCTCTAATCTGCTCTTCACGAGCTTTAGTTAGGCGTCGAAGTATTATTGAAGCTAATTTTTTAGATACGATACTAGTCAAACCGATTCCTCCGTGATTGCCACACAGGACTTTTGTCCTTTGTTATAGACAGGTACAATCAGTGATTGAGAACAGTCAGATGGAATTACGTCCAGTTCCCAGATTCTACCTAAAACCTCAGTCAATCTCACTGCTAATACTGGACCTCTATCAATAAAAATCTCAGGGGTAAACCTGTTAGAGCCTGCTGCTCTTCTATGCTTCAGATTTCCTATAGCTTTTTCAACTTCGTAAAAAGCTGGAGGACTTACATTAACTTGCCATTCAGGTCGACTGGAGATCTTGGGAAACCGAAGTGTGGCTGAAGGCCCACTACTTGCCTCGGTTTGAATAGCCAGATATTACTAACAACCTTAACAAAAAAGTGTACCTAGGACTTGAGTACATGAAACTTTACTTCGCCAGCATGCTTTTATTGTGATGGTGCTGAGTGACTACCACTTTCTAAAGTGCAATTAGAGAATTTACCTATGGATAGTGTAACGAAATACTGATTTATGTTCCCAGCTTTTAACCACACACGCTTTACAACAATTAGTGATAGTTTTTTAAAGTAGCTTAAATTGGTTTAAATTTGGACCCGGAATTTTCATACTAACATATAAATTGAAGTACTAGTATTCCATAGCAATTAGAAAGATACTTAGCCTGGATATTACAGATGGATAAGGGTCGAAAAAGAAATGCTAATGTACCAGAAGTACACTATTAAACGCTAAACTATGGTTAAGTGTATACCCAATACATATCTTAAACTTTAAATATAGAGAATTACTATCACATTATGGACAAACTATATTTTAACAGGATGATTCTACGAAAGGCGATTGAGTTCAGAAAAGTATTTTACTTTTTGTCAACACTCTTAAAGATGAAAAACGTTATCCCTGAATGCGATGCCTGACTTAGAAATTTCCAATATAAACTTTAGCTACGGCCTAACAGTGTAACATCATCTGAATCAATCAAACTTACTTTTTCGCTCGCGTACTGTTAGGGTAATCAATTACAAGACCGCCTGTGAATCCAGCTCTCGTAGCTTCATTCTGCAAAAGATCTGCTTGAACTATGGATTCCGGATAAAACTGTAAAACTGCTCGTGCACCACGAGTAAGACTGCTGTACAGCGAGACGAAAAATCTTCTTAGACGTGCAATAGGATTTTGAGAGGATCTGTCCGCATTGCATAGCCACTGTATTGCTGAAATGCTAATGGCCCCATCAAATGATCCACCACGAAACGGCAATCCACAACCAAGGTCACCAAGTACTAAACTACCTTCCACTTCTCTGTCTAATGCAACCTCAAGCATATCTTTACTTATGTCAACGCCAACCCAATGATGACCATTCTCAGTAATAGTTTCACCACTTAAACCGGAGCCGCATCTGAATTAATAAATGAGAAAAACCTGTTGTTTTCTACCCAATATCTAAAACCATGCATGCTTCATCTTCAGGCAACGCAAGTAATTCTAAAGCCCGTTCTGTGATACGCGTTTGAATATCAATGATATGAGAACTACAAAAAAAAGAGAGAAATACGAAACTCACTTTGAACTGTATTTTTTGGCCTCATCACTGTTATAGTACTAGAAATAAGGGAGAATACTACGATAGTTTACCAGTTCGGGAGGAAGTGAGTGCTCAGGACGCTTGTGAGACATTGATTTAATCTGTGAAAAGATTAGGTTAAAAAATAATTAAACCGTCATATACACATACGCTAAGAAAAACTAGCAAAATGAGGTAACTAGATGTAATTCATCATTTCTTAACAGTTAACTAAAAATACTATAGTGTTTCCTGAAGGGCCACTATCAAAGGGAGTAAGACAATACTGCAAAACTTGTTTTTATTAAGTTGTTATTGAGATGGTTTACGCGAACGAATATTTCCCATGAATATGTCTGGCAATCAAACGCGTGTTACAAACTATAAGCACTGTCCCAACTTGATTCGTACTTCTCAAACTTTTGCTGTGTCCATGTGCAAGAGAAGTAGTTTTTGTGCAAAGCTTTTAGTAGACAATTCATCATTTTGGGTTCCGATCGAATTATTAGCTTACTGAATTTTTGCTTCAACTTACTATTTCGTATTTATGGTGCACAATGGGATGAGAATTTTATTAAATACAGCCAATCTGCCAGTCTTTTTTAAAGGTTGATTACCATTTTTACTTCATTGTTCGTCGACTTTGTTCACAACTATTTATTCATCATGGTCACTAAATATATCTGTAAGCGAACTAGTTGCCGATCTGCTGTCAACTGAGGCATCCAATTTGGCAAATATAAAGAGTGGTTTCGTGAAGCATATACAAACCTTGTGGTGGCTGCTTTCAATACAGTCTAATTCCAAGTGAGTTTATGGCACCTATAACAAATGCTCAGGATTTTGAAGTGGCTGATGACGGAAGAAGAGTATAATAAAAGGACAAAATGATACAGGAATATAAAACAAGTGAGGGTGAATCATAATGAGAGGAGCAGCTCAACTAGGAATAATATAACTAGAAATTACCTGTTACATAATTTCCTTTAACTTCCACCTTGAAAGAAAAGGAAAACTATAACAGGACTCAATGTATATAATACCGAGCCAAAGTTAATAACATCTTACCTGCCGTGTAACAATAGCTCTAGAATCCCATTAACGGAGTTGTGGAGGACAGTTAGACGTTGACACGTAAGGACTAAATACCACAGCACAATGCCATAAACTGTCTTTTATCATTACTTGCTTCGGTATGGTTAACCGGGCAGTATCCCAGACCATATGCAATTTTAATGACTAAAACTGAGAGGAACCTCTTTAAACTGGGATAATTTCTGGTGTCATCCCAATCGTCAGAGTTTGTGGGAAAATTTGTCCACTTTCTGAAAACCTTGGGGAAGGAACAATTAAAAATTTCGGGGTTATCCCCAAAGTCTTATGAAAATCCGTAGTTTTGCCCAAAGTTAGAGTAATTCACGGAAAATTTGGGGGTAATTTTGTAAATTTTGCTATTTTAACACAAACTTAATATACTTTGATGATGAGTAACTTCAGACGGCGTGCGCTAAGATTTAGGTTTGCTCAAGTTGGTATCAAATACCGCTCTAGGGTTGTTGAAAGTTTAAAAAACAGGCAAGCACAAGCATACAAATCAGGGTGGCGTTTATCGGTTAAAATAAAAAGGAATGAGAGGTAGAATAACTTACTCAGTCGTTTACCAAATAAATGATACAGGGAAGAGTGACCTTGGGAATTACACGCGAGGCTTTACACCCGAACCAGTCTCTGTTGGACTGAACTAATCAAACAACTATACCGTATTTTAAGTTTTGTGATTGTGGTATATAATGTTTATTCACGCTGAATTACGGTATTTCTATTGATTATGTAGAGGTGTGAACATTCAACATAGCTTCAGATCACCACCTGGTTAAAGAAACACTGGGCAGTGAGGAATAGCAGTGAAAAGTTCAACACAACCTTCCTACGAGGTACTAACAACTTCAACGAATTCAAGATAACTCTGAACGGTCACATACCCCGCGAAGAAGCACTTCACGTAAGCCATCTCTCTCTAGACCACGAGAGACAGATAACCCCGATTGCTGCTGGTACCATAACCGGTATGGAAAGCCATCCAGAAAATGCAGAAAACCCTGCAATTTTCCGAACTCAAAATCGACTGGCACGAGGAACAATTCGGGAAGCTTCCCAGGTGGCACACGTTAACGGCAACTGTATCTGGCAAACATAGTTGTCTGTTATACGTCACAGATGTGCTAACGTAAGTCCGCTAGCTCGTCGATACTGACGCAGAAGTTAGCGTTCTTTCAGCGAATTTTAACGACCGGCTTCACAAATCTTTCGTCAACTTACAGGCGGCAAAGGGAAAGCCAATCGCCACATATAGTAAAAGGTACGTTTACCTTAACGTAGGTTTACGTAAACCCATTCACTGGAATTTCGTTGTTGTAGATGTTTCTATGCCAATCATTGGCATAGACCTCCTACAACACCACAATCTACTCATCGATACACGCGAACGGAGGCTAGTAGACGGAAACACTAATTTATCTGTTTGCGTAACTTCTTTTTCCAGCTGCAGATTATCTCCTGCCATAGTTAGGCTTACGATAGACCCATTCTATCAATCATTACTCGATAAGTATTCTGGAATATACCAACTTCGACCGAAATTACCGCGTGTAACCAGCAATGTTACATACCACATCACGACTACAGGACCGCCTGCATTCTCGAAAAAGCGTCGACTGGCTCCCGAAAAGCTGATGTTGGCCAAAAACGAATACGATCACACGATAGAGTTAGGAATCATTCGACGGTGAGACAGCCAATTGTAACGCTTCAGGGGTATCGTCAACTGATGGAGGTTGCTGAGCCTTTGAAGGTCAAACCGTAGTAAAGTGATTTGTGCGTCATCTCGACAATTTGTAAAGTTTTACAGAAGCGGTCAAATCAAGACACTTTTAGATTTGAATTGAGTACAGCCACACTGTGTCTGATAACGTCCATCTGTAGTGGTACTGAGCACTAACCACACAATCAACATAGCTGAACACGAGATGACTGGAAAAATAGAATTTCAACATGTAACACTAAGAGGTCAATAATGGTAGACACGGTGACATTCACTCGAAATTGAATTCATTGAATGGCGTGACTTGGTCTTGCAGGTGTGGTCATTTTCGCATGTTGTCTTATGGCTTCTATTTATATTAAATGTAATTTTCTAACTCCAGCCTAAATGTGTTCTCCATCACATATTGGTGATTGTTACGATACGATGAGTCAGTGCGGAGTATGATGTGACTTCCACGTAAGACCTTATAGATTGAGCAGTTACATCATGACAAATCTACAGTTTTAGGATTAGGTCTATTAAAGCAGTACTAATAACGAAGTACGTCGTAATTCTACACATCCTTCAAGTAACGAAAACGATGAAATCTTGATGATGCATGATATAGGACGTATCTTCAATGATATTATGTTATTGCGACGATTTACAAGTTGAGACAATTTTGAGACCTGTTTGAAAGACATACATAAGGTAATATGGCTTCTGTCGTTGATAATTATTTTTACAGTTTACGCATACTAAGTATGTTATGTCAGTATGCAAAAGAATAGTGACGACATCACTCTAGTGCTTTTTCGTCAGGTATGTCAGTACTTATGGACATAAACGCATGTGTTTACGAGATGCGGTTCGTCAGAATCAGATGCTTGTCTTTAGGATGTAGATGATGATACCCATGATCATTATTCTGAATCGCATACAACTTCAAACTCACCACCACAACCTAGACAAAGAAGAAGATATCGGTCGTCTCCTTATGCCTTATTTCGAGTGATTTTATCCTTCGCGTCGAAATATTGTCATTTTCAATCTGGATTTTGGATCCGTGCAGTAAATGATGAGGTAAAAGTCACCTCTATTAAAACTGTACACGACCATCCTTTCACAGAAGGATATATATCTGTAGATCCTTCAAGACTAGAGTTGACATCAAGTGAACGCTTATATTTTAGACCGTTTCTATTGAGTGATATGACAATTCGTAGCTTACGGCATCTAGTTTCTTGGAAGCTCCATAAACAGCTTAACAAGGACGATATCGCCAAAATAAGATCATAGTTGTACCCATGTTATCAAACTCACACTGTAATTAATTGAGCTTAGACACTAGAAAGATCAAAAACATTTTACAGAGCGTTCAGGCAAATACTGAAATAAGGGTATTCAATGAAAATGGGAACATGTCTATGGTTTGCTTTAGTCGTAGGGAGCAAATAGTTAGTTGTCACGCGTTGCTATAGGTAGTATGTATTGATTCGACTTACCAGACCACAAAACTTGGGTAACGAATAGCAATAATTTACCTCAAAGTTTTTCACTATTCCAGCTAGCAGCTACTGATAGACAAGGGTACACTAAGGCAAGGGCACACTGTTATGTATGTTCTTTGCCGCCAAAAACGACGCGAAGACGTAATAAGACTACTGGAATGCTTCAAAGACATAATGTGCTTTACTTATTATACACACACTCTCGTTATGGATTCGGCAGCGACCGCAATTTTCGCGGTACAGTCTACGCACAGTCATGTCAACATAATACTGTGTTCGTATCATGTCTTTAGAGCATTTTTCAGGAAGGTAAATGTTAACTGTACAAATTATTTGCTCTACTTCAGAAATTCCGATGTACGCAAATGCTTGGAACATCTTGAAATACCAATCGATCTGACATTTGCATTTCGCTTTTCATAACACACTGTATTCGGATTTACTCAGAAGTACGAACACCTAAGAACTCATTTTCCACGGGCATATGATTATATAAAAGATAACTAGATCCCTCGGAAGTCGATGTGGGCTCGCTTTTACCAGCGGCATGTACTGAACCTGGGCAACCACACACAGAATCGCGTCGAAAGTGCCCACAAACACTTGAAAAAATATCTCAGGAGTGGTGATTTTCTTCTATTATCGTTCCAGAAAATCTGGAGCGAAACAGACACTGAATTGCGTTTGTGTCCATATGACGTTATAAAGAATCTTTAAAGTTTTCTAAAAACTTGAGGTAATAAGTACGGTTAAATGCATCATTTGTTCCAGGTTCCAGTGTCATTCAAAACTCTCCTAAATGAGCTTACAGCTTTCGCAGCTAAAATTGCAGCTGTAAATGATAAACATGTAAGGAAAATGAGACACGAATTAATACCAGGAGCATTTTTCGTGTCTTTAGGTAACCCTCGTGCTATTGATAGAAGAAACCAGAGAAGTAGTAAATAGGACTTTATTTCGATCTTCGCGCAGTCACAGTGGAGCGTGGGATTATTTGTTCAGACAAACAAAGCCTCTCAATATTCAATATAAGATAATAGGAAATATAACGCCTATACAAAGTAAGGAAGTGAATGAATACTCGAACAATACTGTTTTGGCATATGCTTGGTTGTTTGGGGTCGACTCTTAACCAACCAACCTAAGCTGTTACATTAGCTTCCCCCTAGAATCGACTTCCATAGGAACGTCGGTTCGATTAACCTATCTATCGAAAACGCCTTAGTTCTATTTCTCATCCCAAGGGAAAATTATAAACTCGCTCACTATTTGACTTACAACCAGTGACGACTAACTCTGTCAGCTGTCAACGATAGTCCATGGATGTCTCTTCATTTACTAGCTTGTCATCTTATTTTGTTGCATGTGATCTCTTCTACAACTATCGCTGACGGTTTGCTGCGTGCTTTCAAGAGAAAGAGTGTGAGAATGTGGAATAAGAATATCTGAGGAAGTGCCGCAAGCGGGCTACCCAACACCATGTTGGTGAGGTACGATTTTTCCATGCTCAGACCGGCTATCAGGTGTTTACTCACCTGCCTCTTGAGTCGCCCTCAAGTAAAAAGTAAAGGTAATGGTGAAGACCAATCAAACCTGAAGAACTGCTCCACTGCCTGCATAAAAATAATAAGATACAAAATGGAAATACATAAATATAATTGATAATTGCTCGGTTCAACGTAAGTGATTGGCCTCCAGAAAGGATTGGTATTCTGGAAGGAAATAGACATAGTGTAGCCATCTTGTGTACGAAAAGGTATGAAAACAAAAAAAATACTTTCTTTATAATGCATATATGTAAAAGTGTAAACTTGCTAGAAGTTGGACTCATTGTCCAACCAGATCAAATGTATGGCCTATGACGACCGCCTTTTTTAACCAGGTACGTAACCAAGGGTGCATAATTGTACTCCACAAAACGGAAAAGAATATACGGTTAAGGAGGAAAAAAATGTGTAGATTATGAGGATCAAGTACAGTTGTGTCAAATACCCTTTTCTGGTTTGATTTAGGTATGCATGTTATATTGAAGCAATATTTCGTCAATTCATCCAAGTAACGAATTTGTCTGCACCTTAGAAGTGTGTAAGTCCTATTATTCATTAGTATTATGAATGATTAGTCGGTAAAAGGAAAGAGTGCAGTCATTTCCCCGTGGTTTGATGTGGTCTAATGGCTAGGCACACGGTCCAGCATTCAGGAGGGCAGAGGTTCGAGTGCGTGAGGCCTGCGTTTTTGTTCACCAAAACCCCCTTCAATACGATGTTTGTTGGCCATAAGTTGCTCAGATATGAAAGATAACAGGAGGACGGATTGATGTGTCAAAGTGCCATATTGGAACAATACAAGTTCTTTGTTTGTATTAATAATAATACTATAGGAAAAACTACAAGTTTGGTAGATTTCCATTTTACGTTATAATTA